CTGGTCTCTATGAGGAGAAGTGTTGCATCAGGATTGGTGGAAGATCTATTAACACTCTGTGTTATGCAGCTGACACAACCCTGCTTGCTGAAACTGAGTAGGACCTGAAATGCTTGCTGCAGAGGGTCAAGGACTGCAGCCTTCAGTATGGATTGAGGCTCAATGTCAAGAAGACAAAGATTCTCACCCTTGGACTAATTGGCAGCATCAGGATGGATGATGAAGAGATTGAGATTGTTCACAGCTTTAGTCTGCTTGGCTCCAGGGTCAACACTCTTGGCACCAGTAGCCAAGAAATAAAAAAATTTATTGCAATGGAAAAGTCTGCTGTTAGGGACCTCACCAGGGTACTGAAGAGCAAAGGTGTCACTCTGGAGACTAAGGTGCATCTGATACAGGCTATGGTCTTTGCAATTGCTTGTTATGCATCAGAGAGTTGGACAATGACTAGGGAGGACAGAAGGAGAATTGATGCCTTTGAGCTGTGGTGCTGGAGAAGAGTATTGAATATACCATGGACTGCCAAGAAAAACAAGCAGATTCATCCTAGAGAGGGTTAAACCAGGCTACTCCTTGGAGGTAAGGATTCTGGGGCTTCGTCTGACATACTTTGGGCATATTGTAGTCCTTGGAGAGGGACATCATGCTTGGGAGGGTGGAGGGATGGCATAAGAGGGGAAGACCCTCTATGAGGTGGATTGATTCAGTGACTGGGGTAATTGGCATGGGTGTGTCAGAGGCAGTGCGATTGGCACAGGGTAGAGCAGGGTTTAGGGCTGTTGTACATAGGGTTGCTATGAGTCTCAAGCAACTCAATGGCACATAACAACAACAACAACAACAAATCACAAAGAGAATTCAATGCAAATGAAGCCATGCTCTTTCTATTGAAAACCTTCCTCCTGTCTCAGGAGGGAGGGGTCAGCAAATACAATGCAAGAATCTGCTAAACTCTTAAGGATTGCCTTGGTGTCTCAGGGTGAACCGGGCATTCAGTTTATTACAAGTATTTAGTATTGGCTTCCCATACTATACCAATTGGAAGAATGTTTGACCAAAAACAAAACCAAATCTGAAAGCCGCAGATTAAAATCACCCACCTTTGGCTTGGTAGCATCACTTTCTATCCACTAGGCCCATTGACCTCTCTATGTTGTTAAGTTATACAAGTGTTCAGGTCTTTCATTTATAGGGTCGCTATGAGTCATCTATGATGCAAGGGCACTTAACAACAACAACAGAGAGAGTATACTTTACTTTTTCTTTTAAGGACATTACCAGAACAGTACACACATCCTTCCCATCCACATTTTATTGATCTCATCACACTTATGGGCAAAGCAAATCAGAGAAATGTAGACTAGCTGATTAGTCATGGGTCAAATTACTCTTTTTATTACTGTAACCATGGAGCAAAAGAGATACAGCAGGGACAATTGGTTTCTGGTCCCTAAATACACACACACACACACACACACACACACACACACACACACAAAACAACAACAACAACAACAACAACAAAACCCCACCAAACAAACAAAAGAGAAAAAAATTACATTATACACAGTTCCTGGGAAAAGTACATTGTGGTGGTGGTGGTTATTCTGTCTACAAGAGATCAAGATTAATTTGAGTGGAATCCCAAGTACTTAATGTAGGGTCCTAAGCCCTGAGTATTATTTTTTAAAAAATTTTCTCTTGTTTTTCTTTCTTCTACTTTTTTAATCTAATCCAACTGTCTGTTTCCCACATCTTTAACCCCACCATTAAAATCTCCACAAGAAAGCATGTTTGGTCTAGCATTTTGTTACTCATAAACCAACTTTGCTGAAAATGTAGGGATTGGTAGAGGGAGGGTTATCTTCCACCCCTCTTTTCTTATTAAAACATTTATCCCCATCCAAGGCCCTTGGTTTGCATATATGAGTCTTCTCCTTTTTAAAACCTCTAATCACTAGTTCTCTCCGAGAGAGAGCTCTGGCGACATAATGATTAAGTAGTTGTGCTGCCAAACCAAAGACAGGCAGTTCAAATCCACCAGCTGCACTGTGGGAAAAAGATGGACAATCTCTTTCTGTGTAATTTGCAGCTGCTGAAAATCTACTGGAGGGTCAGCTGTGAGTTGATCCTGACTCAAGGGTACAGAACAAGAACACTAACTAGTTAGGATCTGTCTTCCCCAGCCTTGGAGAACCTCACAGATTGCATAGAGTGTTTTATTCTGACATCTAGTGGCCACAGCTGCAATGGTGCTCATGGACACTTACTGCCGTCTAGTGGATTCTAATTGAATGACAGCTTTCCACGGAGTTTCCAAAGCTGTCGATCTTCATAGGAGGAGACTACCCATCATTTTCTCCAAGAGTGATTGTCAGATTCAAACTACTGACCTTCTGACTGGCGGTCCAACATGCTACCTTGCCATCAGAAAACCAGCATTTGGAGAGTAGCTCTGCAGAAGGCAGTCTTACCAGTTAAGAGTCACAGTTTTGGAAACCCACACCAGGGAGGGTCACTGTGAGTCAGAATGGATGAGAGGAACGTGGATTTGGGGATTAGATAGTTTGCTTCTCTGACAGAACTTAGCATGCCAACTTCCTTGGTTAAAAATCTACCTCTGTCATTTATAACTCGATAAACATGGGAGAGATACTTAAATGAGGATAATAGTTGCACAGTGAAGGTGAAGAGTGCTAGCATAGTGTAGGACACAGAGAGAGAGAGAGAGAAAGAAAGAGAGGGGGGAAGAGTGACAGAGAGAGGTGGAGGAAGACAGATATGAGAGGCTTTTGGCAAGATATGAGTGGTACCAATTGACGTATGTATTGGGTATCCAGAATAAGAGGTACATAGCAAAGTGAACTGGGGCAGGGGAGGAAATTGTGCAACAATGAATGAATGGAAATCCAAGTTCTTGGTAAACTTTCATTAAAACCTCAATAAAAAATTTTAAAAAAGAAAAAAAAGAAATATGTATTGGATATGAAATAGTTTATCAAGGATAATTGGATTACCTCTTGACTTTTTTTACCTTTTCACTCTAAGATTTCTGTTTCCAATGTATTAATGTCATAATTGAAAAGCACTAATTCTTCTTTAGTCTTTCTTACTCACTGTCCAGTTTTCACCTGCTTAAGAAGTCATTGAAAATAACAAGACTTGTGTCAGGTACATCTTAGTCTTCAAAGAGTCTTCTTTACTTTTTAACACTTTGAAGAGATCTGCCTTTTGTAGCAGAGTTCCCCAATGCAATACATTATTTTTATCTGTTGATTGTTGCTCACATAAGCATTGATTGTAGATGAAAGTAAAATGAAATCCTTGACAATTTAAATGTTTTTCTTTTTGATGTTGTTTATTGCCTGGCATGTAGTGATATGGTCAAGCTTTGAGCTCAGATTAAAGATTGTCTCTTTTCATTCATTTCTAAATAGTTCATAACTAAAGTTAATTCATAACTAAAGGGAGTACTGGTGGCCTAAGGCATGCAGTTTGAATCTACCAATTGCTCCAAGGGAGAAATATGGGCAAACTCCTCCTGTGTGATTTACTGCCTCTGAAAACCCTCTGGTGGGGGTCAGCTGTGAGTTTATTCTGACTTGATGGCACACAACAGCAACAACAAACAGCAGCCATGGAGAGAAGACACAGGAGACACTGTATCAATCCAATACCATTAGCTATTTATATCTTCTAAGCTCTATCTTAGGGAACTTTAGTAGCTAACTGTGCAAGGGATGTTACCAACCCAAAGGCAAGTGGTTCAAAGCCTACCAGTTGCTCCATGGGGGTAAAAAAAAAAATTAGGCAATCTCATCCTGTGAGATTTACATTGATAGTGTTGTTGTTGAGTACTGTCAAGTCAGAACCTACCCATAGTTGACCTTCCAGAGGGTTTTTAGAGAGAGTCCTTCACCTATGAGAATTTAAATACAGCCTCTAAAAACCCATTGGAGAGTATAGGGCTATGAGACTATGAGTCAGTTCCAACTTGACTGCAATAAGCTGAGTTTCAGTTGAAGCAATATAGTAGAAATGCATGGTCTGAGAAGTATGTGTATGTTCATAGAGATGGCAAATAAGAGCATTTATATAGTTGGATTGCAAATCATAGTGGTTCTTGGTCAAGAATTTATGTGTATTATCCGTTTCTGTATAACAATATTATCACAGTCTTTGAGGTTTCAGACAACACACACTTATCACCTCATCATTTCTGCGGAGTCCACACACCATTTATCTGGGGTCTCTGCAAAGATGTAGTCAAGGTGTCAACCCGGGATGGCTTCTCAGCTGAGGCTTCACTTGGGGAAGAGTTTGCTTCCAAGTGAATCTGTCATGTGATTGTAGACTTCCCAACTGAGGAAACAGTAAGGCTTCATTTGCTGACGGTCAGCCAAAAGTATACCTCAATGCCATGCAGCCTTCTCCATAGATGGTTTACAATATGTAACCTGCACTTTCAAAGCCATCAAAGGAGAACATCTCCTAGCAAGCCAGACATTACAATCTCATGCAGTGTAACCATAACAGCCTATCACGGTTTCCATAGTCTATTTGTGACAGTTCCTTGTCTATATTAAAGGAAAAGTGATTAAGCAAGATATGTATACCAAGATTTGGGAATTGTAGAATTACCCGAGTCTGTTTCCACACTGCCCTATATCGTGTGTACTGGACACAGCTTCTAAGCCCACGGCAACTCTTAGGACTTCTGTACTTTCTTTGGGACAAGGAAGTAGAAGCAATGTCTCCTTTGGTTAATACAGGATTTTTTTTTTTAGAAGAATGGTGGTCTAATTATTGGAGAGAAATAGCTTGGTAGACTTATTGGGCAGGGCCTTTTGTAGGTAGATTGAGAAACATGATGGAGGTGGGAGTAAGTGGACCGAATTAAAATTATTTTAAAAACTGTTTCTAAATGTCATCTTTTACTGTGCAATATATGAGCCTTGGACCCTGCATGCTCAGGTGAATTTCCCCCCCTTCTCTTTAAGGTATGGCAGTGCGGAGGGAAGATAGAGGTCTTACCCTGCACGCGGATTGCTCACATAGAGAGACATCACAAGCCCTACGCTGCAGATCTGGGCACAGTGCTGAAGCGCAATGCTCTGCGGGTAGCTGAAATCTGGATGGATGAATATAAACACATGGTCTACATGGCCTGGAATGTGCCTCTTCAGGTTTGTCATGAAATTAGAACGATGAAATTAGAAAGAAAAGATAGGATTAATGATAAGGAATGGGAAGGACCAGAGCAAAGAGTTAGTCAACCCTTATAGGAGTATAATAAAGTTCTGATGGTACATGACTAATGCTAGCCATGCTTTGGCCATGCAGTCATGCTGGGAAAGGTGGAGAATCAGAGAAAGAGAAGACCCTCAATAAGATGGATTGACACACTGACTCTAAAAATGGGCTTGAGTACATCAGAGGTGGAGAGAATGGGGCAGGCTAAGTCAACGTTCAGACTGGTTATTTATAGGGGGCTGCTATGAGCTGTAGTTGACTTCAAGGCACCCAACAACAACAACAACAATAGACATTTATAGAACACATTTTTGTCCCCAGAACTGTTCTAAATATTAACTCATTTCAGCAATGCAACATAGATATGGAGTTAGTTTATTATTTGGGTTTTACAGATGAAGAAACAAGGCACAGATATGTGAAAGAAAATTGTTTAAGGTAATACAGGTAATTAGTGGCAGTTCCAAAAGCCAAACCTGGAAAGGGTGGTTTGTAGATTTCATAGTCTTTGTCAGTCTGCTGTATGGAAGATTAGTTACTTGGAGCAGGCAGGGTTGGACATCAAGAGTCACTGCTAGGGAGCTCTGGTGGCCTAGTGGCAAGAAGCTGCACTGCAATCCTGAAGATGTGTGTTTTGAAACCACCGGATGCTCTGCTGGAGAAAGAGTGGCAATCTCTTCCTGTGCCAGTTGTATCTGTTTCAATAGTACACAACAAGAGAAAGAAAAAAAAAGTCACTGGTAGGATAGAGTATTGGGAGTTGTGATGCTAACTCAAAAGCAGAGTTGATGTTCTGCTTCCAGTCTCTCACTGGCTCTGTGAGAGAAATATGGGCAATCTCTTCCCATGTACGTTATAGTCTTGGAAAGCAAAGGGTCAGCTATGAGTCAGTTCTGACTCCACAACAACGAGAGAGTGAGAGAAAGAAAGAGAGAAGGAAATAGAGACAGATACACACACAGAGGATGGTACATGGTAGATACGGATGCAGAGTGTTAAGAGGAGGCACTGTAATCTTGTTGGGAGCACTGGAATAGGGGTGCCATTCACTGGTGAGTTTGTGTCATCTTCCCTAGACACGTAAAGTCAGTATGACATTTGTGACTCTGGGCTCAAGCATACTGGGGTGTGCTTTGGGGTACAGAAGGCGGTAATCTCATTGTCATACTCTTCTCCAACACATTGGATCCTAAAGTAGCCCCACGATGCTAGGGAGGCAGAGTGATAGGGACTTGTGTAATGGATGTAAAAAAGATTGGATCAAGAAGAATAATGAGGAGGGGGGGAAGAATGATGGGGACCAGGAGTCAGATTAAACAATTGTCATTTATCTCATACATTGAGCTAATTATTTGTGGGATTTTGCTGTGGGTTTTTTTTTCTTTCTTTTTTCTTTTTGTGTACTGTTGAACCAGATCCAGCTGGCACAGAAGGAGATTGTGCCTCCTTCTCCAGCAGAGCATCTGGTAGATTTGAACCACTCGCCTTGGGGATTGCAGAGCATGAGCTCATTATTTCAAGAGATTTATAAGAATTTATTCTGGTGTACTATGATACCAAGAGATAACAACAAAGCCAAGTTCCCTCCAGAAGATCACTAACTTTTTTTCCCTTTATGAAATTCTATTTGTGAATGTCCTCATCTGTAAAGAAAAGCTTGGAAGCAGGAGTGGCATCCACTTCTGAAATGGCTTGCCTTCAGAAACTCTATGAACATGGAGGAACGACCAAAGTTATACATAGTTATATACCAAAGTTTTATATAAAGTGTTCAGGTCTATTGTTCATAGGGTCACTATGAGTCGTCTATGACTTGATGGCACCTAACAACAAGTGGTAAGGAGTTGTGCTGTCAATATAAAAGCATGTGGTTTGAGTCTACCAGCTACTCTATACGAGAAAGATGGACAATCTCTTACTAGTGATTTATAGCCCATGAAAAGCCACTAGAGGGTATAGCTATGAGTCAGTTCTGACTCAACAGGACATACAACAATACCCTAGTATTCTTTAACTTTGACTCCCCCCAAAATATCATTTTTATGAAACATCTTTTTGTTTCCAAATCTTGTTGCCAACATATCCCTTTGGAGAGATTTTTCTGGTTATCATGAAGAATCATTTCATGCTTATTGTGTAAGTAGTGTCTCATACTGGAGCAATCTGACCCAATTTGTTAAAGAGTAGAAAGAAAACTGAGTGACTCCACTTTGGAAAACTGGTGAGTGCTTTAAAAGCCAGTAGAGTTCCCTAGGTTTGAGCTTTCCCAGAAAATATATGTAATACAAAGGTTATTTTACAGGTTATCAGGCAATTTCCTAGGTTCTTCATGTGTTGTCCAGTCCTGTTAGAATTAAGGTGGTTCCATGGATAAAACATCTTTGGTGTTTGATTTACAGCATTCTGGAATAGATTATGGAGATGTTTCATCCAGAAAGGCACTCCGGGAGAAACTGAAATGTAAAAGTTTTGACTGGTACCTGAAAAATGTCTATCCGATTCTGAAGCCAATTCCTAGCATTGTAGGCTATGGAAGAGTACGTATTATGAAATTATGCTGTTTATTTTAAGTGATTGTAAAAGACAGTGGAATTGGAGTTTATAAAATCTATCATCCTTCTCAAGATTCGCTTCCTACTCTTGACTTCTTCCTTGGCTCTCTGCCCTTGGACCCTTTTATTCTCTTTGCCCCCTGCTCCTCAAATCTCATCTCTTTTTCTTGTCTCTTACTTTGGAAACAGTATTTCTTTCAATTTCTCAGCCAATCAGTGTGTTTACTTTGATCACTTGACTTCTAGTCTAGATGCCCTTTCCCTAAATGAGGTGCGAGGGTCTGGGTCAAGTGGGTACTCTAGGAAGTATGCGTCATAGAAATCTCAGTAGTCATTTTTCCTAGTACTTCAAAAATGGCAACCTTGATTCCATTTTTCCGTTTTTTGTTAGTTTCTGGTGACCTTGGTCCTCTAGAAAATATGCAGGGTTTGGGGGACTCGAGGGTTCTCTTTCTCTAACAGTATTATTTTGTTTCTTCAGATGAAAAATGCATTGGATGAAAGTATCTGCCTTGATCAGGGACCCATTCCAGGCAATACCCCTATCATGTATAGCTGCCATTCATTCAGTTCACAGGTATTTCCCCCAATCTTCTTTATCCTAACAGGTGGAGTCTGTTGTATTTAACCTCTGGAAACCTTAACAGATCAGACTTGGTGTTAGATGATAGTGAGGTAAGAGTTGTTATCAGTGAATAAAGAGGAAAGGTGAGCCCAAATTGCCCATGAAGCCAAGTATTTAATAGTTTATTAGAAAACCTCATGGAAAAACCACAATCTAATGGGTTGAGAAATTATGGTACATGCACACAATGGAATACTACACCGTACACAGGAGCAATGATTTTGTAAATCACTACCTCATTTGGGAGGGACTGGAGAGCATTATGCTAAGTGAACTAACTCAGTCCCACAAGGACAAATAAGACCATTACTGTAGAAGGTGCATAAGGATCCAAGAGGGGAGGGAGGGAGCAAAATGGGAGGATGGGTGGGGGGTGGGTTTAATCACAATCCCACGATTTGATGGGTGGAGGGAGGGGTGTGTAAAGGAAATGGGAAAGATCCAGTGTGAAAAACAATGTATATAAATCTTGTAAGTAAACCAGTGTAAAAGAAACGTTTTATTTAAATAAACAAATACCTGATGGAAAGATGGATATATATCAGGCACAGAGAGGAGAAGAAAGGCTATATTTAGTTATTTAGGAGGGCAATAGTGAGCTAGAGAAGAGAGAGACTGACCCAAAAGGATGGAAGAAGTCTGGTGCCAACTTCAGGTCACGGCCCTGCTAGAATATTGACACCCTGTTGGCCTTAAAGAGTACTACAGAATCACAAACGATATTTTGTGTTTTTAGTGACCATTTACACAGCAAATCAGAGTCACATTTAGAAATTTCTGTGCATATTGTTCTATTTGAAAACTAAAGTGCACTGGATTCAGGCTATGGTCTTTTCAATCACCTGCTATGCATCTGAAAGCTGGACAATAAGTAAGGATGGCAGAAGAAGGATTAATGCCTTTGAGTTGTGTTGGAGAAGAGCACTGAGTGTCCATCCTATGGACTGCCAAAAGAACAAACAGACATATCTTGGGAAAAGTGCAGACAGAGAGCTCGTTGGAGGCAAAGATGACAAAGCTCTGTCTCTCATACTTGGAAATGACATGACTATTGGAAAATATAAGGTTAGTGAAATAGTAGAAGACCCTCAACGAGATGAATTGGCATAGTGACTGCGGCAGTGGGCTCAAGTGTGTCCAAGAGGGTGAGAATGGCATAGCCTAGGACAGGGTTCAGGTCTGTTGTTCATAGGATCACTCTGAGTCATACTTGACTCAACAGCACCTAACACCACCACCACCACCACCACAATAGATATTGTTTAGTGACACTTGTTACATTTGCACATTATATCAATATTCTCACTACTTCTATTCTGGTTGTTTTGTTTATTAATCTAACTTCCCTACTCCTACTCTTCTTACTATCAAATTTTAGATGTAGGGTGAAATTAGAACATTTTCTGTTATATACATGGTTTGTTGTTGTTGTTGTTTTTTTAAGGAAACAAGTGTCTACAGATGATACTGCTTATTTTGTGAACCAATCTACCTTTTATTTAGCTGAAAGGTGACCTCTGAGAGAGGTTTCAATTCAAAGTTTAGAAGTTATCTCAGAGTGGATGGTAGTTTTGGAGGTTTCTCTAGTCTCTACTGATTGAAGTGGGTGTTCTTTTCACTTAACAGATGAAAGCACTGAGATACAACAACCTATCTATCCAAGCTCAGTGAGCAGAAGAGTGTCAGATTTAGAATCTAGAAGTTTTCTTTACTACAAGCCCAGAGCTGAGACTTACAGAGGGTCAGTCTCTGAAGGCCAGTTGGAGTTTTGCTTCAAAGACACATTTCCTTATGCTGTGAAAACTGGAGCTCTGTGAGAGCCCTTGGGAGGAAGGAAGCAAGTTAATTCTCCTTCCCATGCTTTGTCTCCTTTCTGAAATATTTGAAGAGTTGAGGGGAAAAAGCAGAGCTGACTTTATCTTACCCTAGGAAGGAGAGTGTTGCTCATGATGTGTGCCTCCTGGTTTCAAGCGTCATCTTTGTGCTCTCAGTAAGGTCAGCTGCCTCCCCACCCCACTGACCATTGCCCATGCCGTTTATGCCCTCTTCTAGAATGTCTACTACCACCTAACAGGTCAGTTCTATGTGGGAGCGCTGATTGCAGAGATAAATACCGAGGATCGCTGCCTGACTGACCCTGGTGAAGGGGAGAACCCCACTCTGGAGCCATGTGTTAAGGCAGCCCAGAAAGGACTGCACATTTATTGGGATTTTAAACAGGTGAGTTGTCTTTTAGCTTTGTATTGTTTTTAAAGATAGGCATGCTCAAGCATAAAGATGCTTGCAAAGGTAGAGAGTCCTTGTTGTTCAATGTGAAGGTGGCCTCGTCCGACATCTACCAGTTCATAAAGGGAAACTGTCCCCATCAATAACATCCATGTTGTTGTGTTGTTGAGTACCATTGAGTCAGAACCGACCCATAGCTGACCCATCTAGTGGGTTTTCAGAGGCTGTTAACCATACGGGAGGAGACTGCCCACCCTTCTCAAATGGAGCAGCTGGCAGATTCAAACTGCATGCCTTTGGGATTGCAGTGCACTTTCTTACCACTACGCCACCAGAGCTACAAATAGCTACATAGTCAGTCATGCTTCCCCACAAGTTCCTGCACTTACTTTTGCCAATCATTGGGTGGGATGATCATTGCAAGACTCATACACTTTACACACAGTTGTGGGATTTATTTTGGATATAGTTTGGTGAGTTTAGGAGGCAAAAAAAATCTCACAATACAAGTTCAGGTATAGTTTAGGAGTCCCAAGCCAGATTAACAAGGCACAATTCCTCAATTAGTAAAAGTCCAGGCTAAGTTCAACAACACAGATAAACCTCTGGTTTCCTCAATCATTCAGCAAATTTTATATTAGAGCTTTTCCTCAGTCGTCCATCAAGCAAAACCTTAACAGTGGCCTTTATATTAGAGCAGTTACGATCAGCTTTTCCTTCAATCACCCACCAAGCAAAACCTTTAGCTGTGGCCTTTATCTCTAGTATTACTCTGGTTACACCTTGCTGCACTTTCTTCTCAGCAGTGCCACAGTCTCTTCATCCTCTCTCCACCACGATTGTAGCCATTTTTCACAGTGTGGAAAATGCTGTCTAATATTGGCTGCACAGCCGTCAATGATTTTCGAGATCATCTGTCCACACTTAAGGTAGCTGGCGACCATAACTCTACAATGGGGGCTAATGTAATAGCTAGAAAAGCCAATTTTTAAGAGTTTTGACACCCCATACATCCGTTGTAGGACCAGCATTAGCATATTTGATTGAACTTTGGAATCTTCTGATGCTGTTTACTTTGTGGATTGTGTTTTTGTTTGATTGATTTTTCACTCCATTCCATAGCTTTGTGTTTTGAATCACAAATTTAAAAAGTGGAGGTTATGACTTCATGGGTCCACAGTAAAGATAATGCCACTACTGAGATGGGTACGGTTTGAAGAGATAAGGCATGTTTGAGACTTTTGGGCTGTGAGATGAGGAACATGAAGTTGAGAGCAGAGATTCTGCTTCAAGGTGGTGCAGTCCAAAAGGAGTTGTGTTGCTAACCCAACGGCTGCACCTCTGTAGTGGTTCGAATCCACCAGAAGCTCTTTAGGAGAAAGATGGGTAATCACTTCCCATGCAATTTACAGCTTCAGAAACCCCAATAGCGGGTCCCCTCGAAATAGCCAGTGGAAAAGCTTTCAAATGGAATAACAGCTCAAGATAAAAAGAGGATCCCTGAAAGAGACAGTGAGAGGAGGAGACCGCTCTCACTCAGGGTTGGAGGCATGAGAAGGAAGGGAGTGGAGGGAGCGTTCTCCCTCCCACAGGGGCTTGGATGAGAGGACAGTGGAGCAGGTGTGACATTGGAACTGGCGCCGTTCTGGAAATCAATTTGGTTAGATGGAGGAAAAAAAGAAATCAGATCCTCAAAGTAATGATTCCATATTTTAAAGACTACAATCCCACTTTGGAGAGGAATCCTGGTGGCTTAGCAGTCTTTCTTTGAGATAGAGCTAAAATGCCAGCCATTCAAGATTGTCAGGGAGAAAGGTGAAGGAATCTGTTTGCAGAAACATCACAGGCTTGGAAACCCTATAGAGCCATTCTACTTGGCCCTACTGGGGCTCTGTGAGACAGACTTAACAGCAATGGGTTGGGTTTTGGTTTAAATCCCATTGTTAGATCTGTATCTTAACCTAGAAAGAGAATATAAGATCTGAGAAGGATATACTAACATTATGGTGGCAAAACATTAGGAAAATGTCCAACCATAGGGAAACATCATCTCATTTCACTGCCATCACTTAACAGATTTCACTGTATACCAACACACACACACACACACGTATTAAAAAACCTCATCGTCATTGAGTTGGAAATAACTCATAGCTGACCCTTCAGTGGGTTTTCAGAGGCTCTAAGTCTCAGCGGAGGAGGTTGCCCATCTTTCTCATGCAGAACAGGTGGTGGATTTGAACTACCAGAGAGGTGTGGCCTTCAGCTAAGCAGTGCAACACTCCAAGGATCACACCACATCAGATATCACCAGTGTGTTATCAGAAATGGGATTTGAACCCATGTCTTCAGGTAAGACCTTAACTCACCGCCTTAGACCCTTGACCATCTTTTTTCTACTTTGAACTGAATGCTATGTGGTAAAACCTATGATAGCAAAATTTATATATGGCAGAAACCAGTCAGAGACAGAAAACTGATAATGAGTGATGAAAAGTATACGACAGACTCTTGTGAAATGTGGAAAACTTTCTAGAAAAACATGGCGTCCCCAGTTCTGACTTTTGTAGATTAATCTGTAAAATCAGGATGCACACACACACATACACACATATGCATATAGATGTAAAAACCTCATTGCCGTTGAGTCAGAACTGACTCACAGCTGAACCTCGAGGTTCTTGGAAGCTCTGATTTGTACAGGAGGAGATTAACCATCTTTATCCCGAGAAGTCCCTAGGAGAGTTGTCTAAAGATTTTTGAGCTGTGTCTCTCTTGTAATTCTAATCTAACAGAGGATTCAAAGGACGGGTGACCATGGACAATCTCCTCCTGAAATCCTGCTTGATGGTCAGCTATGAGTTAGCCCCGACTCGACAGCAATGAGTTGTTAAGGAGTGAGAGCTGAGGGGTAAAGCTGGCATGGGAATCCGAGAGCAGTAACCTAGACGGGAAGTAGAGTTCAGAGGTCACATGGCTGTGGGCATGTTTGTAGAGAGATCTGCTCACCTAGAACCTTCTTCAGGAGATTTCTGTGATCTGGAAGCAGTGGCCAAAAAAAAAAAAAAAGAGGGTGGGACTGACTGGGAGAAGAAGTTCATGAACCTGGGGAATCACCTTGAATGATTGTCACTGGAGGTGCACCAGGGACCTGGGTGAGGATAGAGGGAGTACAGTGTGGTCAGGAGCAGTTACTTTTAGGGAAGTAGAAGCTGTTGGGGGCTTTTGTAAATTGAAAAAATGAGAGACCGTGAGGCTATGATTAGCGAGGGAGCAGAGATTTGAAGCTGTTAGAGCTGCAGCCCTGCTTGGGGTTGAAAGAACTTGGTGGTAGGTTATCTGAAGTGGGAGAGTGAGATAAGGATTTCTTGGTAGTCATCCAAATGGATGCTGTAGCATAGTCCAAAGGGATTTGCCCTGCTAACCCACATGCCGAACCTTTCTGACAGTTCAAATCCACTAGAACGTGTAAGAGAGCAAGATGGATGATCTCTTCCCATGAGATTTACAGTCTCAGAAAACCAATGGAATGTCAGCTCTGGGGAGGTTCTGACTTGATGGCAATGTCCATGAGTAATATGAGGTATGAAGATGAGAGCAGATTAGAGGTGGTGTAAGCGAAAAGAAGTTTCATTTAAGTATTAAAAGAGACTATGTGAGTTATTGCAAAGGGATGTACTGGGATGTGGGAAGGAGGAAGGACAGGAGGAGAGGGCAAGATCAGGAGAGATGATCCTTTGCTCAGATGCCGTGATGCTATGGAGATAAGGAGTAAAGAGCTCAAGGAGTCTGGTAGTGGCACGTGGGACACAGAGGAGAATGATGCTTCCTCTTCTATTAAGATGGGTAGTGGCAGAGATTAACCAACATTTTGTACATCTTCACACAACAGACACTATTTGTTTAATATGTATAACTCTACTTTATAGATGAGTAAATGAAAGCTTGTTGTTGTCATGTGCCACTGAAATGGAGCCAACCCGTAGCTGACCTTCCAGTGCATTTTCAGAGGCAGTAAATCACATAGAAGGAGGTTTTCCATCCTTTTTTCATGGAGCAACAGGCAGATTTGAACTGTGCACCTCTGGGGTGCAGCACAGCTTCTTAGCATTAGGCCACCAGAATTTCCTAAATGAAGGCTCAGGGTGTCATTTTTCCAAGGCCATATCATTTGTGTAGGGTGGAGCAATGATACAAACTCAGACCCTTCAGCTCTAGAGCCCATAATATTCTCATTGTAAACACTGTCAAAACTCCCACAGCACAGACAGGATGCTGCATGAAGAGTGCTGTGAGCATGATTGAGACTCCTAAATGTAACATCTACTGCAATTGCACAATAGAGACTCATCAAGTAGAGAGGGAACGAATAACAAAGGTGAGCTGAGGGGTTTAAAGGACACAGGATGGCTGAGTAGAGAAGCAATCTTGGCTCTCTGTGACACTATCAAGTCATATCAATCTTTATAGACCTCACGCTTCAATCCCAGGAGAGGCTGATGATAGTACAGGAAGCCAACACTTGCCAACCCTCAGTGCAGAGCAGTGGTTATACACCGATCTCTGGTTAGGTTGCAGTGGGATGGTAGAGAAATCCCTGGGAAATCTCATTATAAGTTTTTCTTCATTTTTCTCCTGAGGGCAACTTGTAATAGATTAGAGGGCTTGTCAGGCTTCTCTCTAAGCACAGCAAGAAGAATAAGAGTAGGAGACTGATATTCTATTGGACATTTCAATACCTTAACTCTATCTCTCCTTCCATCCAGGAAAAAGCTGTCATAAACAAGTCCACTAAACGGTGTCTGGAGATCAAGAAGAACTCTGCAGGTATCTATGTGCTTGTGCTCCAGACCTGCACCACACAAGTGTGGAAGATACAGCATACCATCAAGAACTGGGGATCAAACTAATGTTCAGTTGGACAGTGGAGTCATCTGAAGGGAGCTTGGATTTGGAGCATCAATAATTGCAACTGGAATGGCTTCAACTCCCAATATACTGCTCAAAGTGGGAGAGGGTGGGAGAATGTGTGTGTGTGTGTGTGTGTGTGTGTGTGTGTGTGTGTGTGTACTTCGTGAACCACGTGTGGGGTAGAGAAGTCTGCACATATACACTGCTGCTCTGCTGGGGAAAAGAGTGGAAACAGTGGCATCTGCTCCACAGCTTCCCCTGGGAGTTCATGATATGTATCCAGTGCCATTCTTGGAAAATCCTTGAAATAGGCAGCATCATCTGGCTCTATGAGGGGAGAAAAATAGGAGGATGGTAGTTCATCTTTGGCTTCTACCCAAACTGTTTTGTCTTCATTCCTGACAACTATTATCACCATCTGTCCTACACCTCCTCCCCCAGCTCATCTGCTTAGAGATTCTTCAGTTTGCCTTGGGGGGTATTTCACCTGAAGGCCTGGGTCATCATCACCAGGATGGCAGCTTAACATTGGTTCAGGTAACGTTAAGTCACTTAAGGACCTCAAAGGACCTTCCCTGGAAATGTGGAACCACACCACCTCCTTTCTTTCTTGACTGTCCTGAAAGATGCGCTTAATAATAGATCAGAGTTCTCATGTCTCACACACCAAAAGGATTCCAGGGCCTTAAGGAGTTGAGAGAAAACATCTCAATGAATCCTCCCCTACCCCCTTCCAGGGCAAGTGTCCAGGGATGATAGAAAGATCCAGAATCGCTTGAGTATGTCTTTAAGTAGATGTTAACATTTAGTAAACTTGATTGATTACATGTTCCCTCTTATCACTACTCTGAAGCATGGGGGAAATGAGGCTAAAAACAGCGGTATTACTAATTGGAACACAAAAGGACACTAATCAAGAACTTAAAATCAAGGAGCATTACTACTGGCCATTCAGTCAATCCTTTTCCTAGTCAGTGTTGGGAGGACTGGTCCAGGGCTGCCAATTTTTTGTAAAGTCTTAGAGGTTGGTGGGAATGAGTAGTGTGGTAGGAGAGGAGCAGATTGACCTGTGTGTGCTTTGAGTTATGGGCATACACTTTTCACTATGCATTTGAGGGGTTATTCTGTAGAGGATCCCTTTTTTTTTCTCTTGGCTCATGTCAATAGCTAAATGGTTATGATTCTGGAAAGAATTCGGCTTCCTTTAGGCATTATAAAACTCATTGCTTTTGAGTTGGAACTGACTCATACCTAACCTCCATTCTGTTTTCTAGGTTATAAATTACAAGTAAGGAGACTGGTTACCTTTCTCCTGTGTTTGCTGTTGGTGACTTTGAATTATCAGAGACTCAGCCTTTCGATTAATAGCACAGTTCCTTCTAGCCTGTGCAACTAAAGTACCCTTTCGGCATTAGGCGGGTAAAACATTGATGAATTAGCATAGAATGAAATCAGCTAAAATGTTTACGCTTCTAAAACTGCAAAAGCCATGAATTATAGGTTGATTAAATTTCTGCAAAGTGTACACATCCATTCCAAGTATTAAAACATTGCAACAGATAAGATTCTATTATGGAAAAAAAAAAATTGAAGGAACAAGGTGTGCAATTTCTAGCTTAGCACACTGAAGGAAAAACAGAATTCAGAACAATGTGTTTTAAAAACATGTACCCATTAGAAAAATGGGAGGGATTTTATATTCCTATTTAAAGCCCTAGAGGAACAAATGGTTAAGTATCTACCCAATAATCAACAGGTGGGAGAGATTAAAAAAAAGTGGACAGTTCAAATCCACCCAGTGGTTCCAAATGAGAAAGACTTGGTGACCTGTTTCCAGAAAGAATCCAGCCAACTTCTCTCCTGTCACATGCATACTGGGGGTTGACTTGATGAGGTCACAACAACTATGCTGTTGCTATTAGGTACCACTGACTCATAACAGCTCATCGCTGACCTTCCAAGGAGTTTTCAGAAGCAGTAAATCGTATAGAAGGTGATTTACCCATCTTTGTCCTACTGGTTAATTCAAACCACATGCCTGTGGATTGTTAGTGCTTAGCCTCTCAACTCCTTACCACTTAGCCAACACACACACACACACACACACACACACACACACACACACACACACACACACAACCACAGGGTTGGCTGTTTGAATCCACCAGCCGCCTCTGTACAAGAAAGATGAGCAGTCTCCTGTAAGATTTATAGCCTTTATCATTGCTGTAGTGGCAAAATCCATTGGGCATTCAGCTGCTATCCCAAAGGGAGCATTTATCTGGAGATTCAAATCCACCAGCAGTCCTGCTGGAAAAAGAGGGACAGTCCCTTCTCATGCAGTTTACAGCCTCTAAAACCTCACTATGAGTCAGTTTTTAATTTGACAACAAGGAGGGGTTTTCTTAGTGGCAAGGTTGGGTTATGGTTAATACTACCTGTAAACATGGCCACTTTTCCTATTATATTGTAACTGTTCTATGTGTTGTAAATTCCAATCTCTGTACTGCTGACTCAAAGGAGGCATCTCTTTGGTAGTTCAAATGCATCAGCGTCTCTGCAGGAGAAGAGATGGGTAACTTCCTCCTGCAATTTGCAGCCTTTGAAAACATTCTATGAGGTGGTTCTGATTGAGCAGCAATGAGTTCTATCATGCTGAGATTGATGACAAGCAAATTTTTAAAGATATTAGTTTTGTTTGATTAAGGGTAGGTCATCTCAGGGATATGGCGTGAATTGAATTTATGTTTGTATGCTTACAAAAAAAGAGAGAACTATTTGCCAAATGTATATCTGGCTTGTGGTCCACAAACTTAAACTAGGGGTCTCATGTACTTACTAGCCTTGGACTTATCCGAATTCAAAGCCTGCTATCTGTGACCCTGCTTCCCAACACTGTGCCAGCCTCTGAAGCCAGTAGCCTCCAAAGCCAGCAGCCGGCATCTGGCCTTCACCTGAGTTGCCTTTATCTTGTGGTCTACCTATAGACCTGGGGCTTACCTCTACAAGCACAGGAATCACTTCCTTGAAATAAATTCCTCACTCTCTCATATATTCCACTGGTTTTGCTTCAGAAAACTGATGGAGGGTTACGATTATTTTTCCCCCCATGTCAGACCAGTAATGTGCCAATGTTGCAACAAGGTTTAAGGGAGGTGATGCTATACAAAAGCACGAACACGCAATCATCATACTCATGAACGGAAAAGGATCAAGATTATCTATTCTTGACTTGTATCCTTTATGTAAATATGAAAGGATATTCCATAGTTGTTCTTAGGTGTCAATGAATCAACTCCAACTCATAGTGACCCTATGAACAACAGATCTAAACTTCACCCTATCCCTTGCCTTCCTCACAATATCGGCCATGTTCAAGTCCGTTGGTGTAGTCACTGTGTCAATTTGAGAAATGTCCTCTTTTTTGGATGACTCTGTACTTATTCAAGCATGATATTTTTATCTAAGTACTTGTCTTTCATAACAGTACCTCAAAGTATATAAGGCAATGTTTCACCATTCTTATTTCTATGGAGTACCCTTGTCACACTTCCTGTGAAACATACTTGGTTATTGTTTTGGTTGTCCAAGGGATGTGCACTATTTTTTTAAACACTACAATTCCAAAGCATCATATGAATTTGGGAAAAATATCACATTCTTTGGTCTTTCTTATTCTTTGTGTGACTTTGGCTTTTGAACTGAGTAGCACCATCACACACACACAGCATCAGGACCCCACAGAGTCACACAAGATGGAATTTGGGAGCTCTCTCTAATCTCCTTGATCAGGTATCACCTTTCTCCTAGACGGGCGTTGGCGACCTTCGGGAAAGGATATCTTCAGATGCATAGGTACCAATTAAAAATATTGCAACTTACGTCAAGTGGACCTTTGTTTTAAATTTTATTTCCTTGCACTTTAGCACTTTGGAGAGGTCCTTTGACAGCAGATTTCTTCAATGTAGTATGTCTTGATTTCTTGACGGGATCCAACTAAAAGGAAAGCATTGAAAACATCAATCTTTTTTCCTTCTATCATGATGTTGCATACTGCATATCCCTGAGATGACCTACCCTTAATCAAACATCTGGTGATGTTTTTGTTTTCTTTCTTTTTTTATTTTTGTGTGTGTGTGTGTGTAGTTTTTTGTTTTCTTTATATTGGAGTGTAATCCATATAGAAGGTCTTCTGCAGTATGCGTGTCAAGTCTTCTTCAGTTTCTCCAAGCAAAGTTATGTCATTTCCATAATGCAGGTTGTCAAAGAATCTTCCTCGAATCCTGATGTCACATACCTCTTCATGTATTCCAGGTTGTCAAATGTTTTATTTAACATACAGTTTGATTAGATATGGTGAAAATATACAACTCTATTTTATACAAACAGGAAATATGAACAAAACCTTTCTTGTTTTTAAACCATGCATTGTCCCCTTTCTCTGTTTGAAATATTGCTTCTTGAGCTTTTACTGGCTTCACCTAAGCACAGTATCATTCTGGAATTCCTGCTCTTCTCAATGTTATCTATAATATATGATGATCAACACAGTCAAATACTTCTTTATAGTCAATAAATAAAACAAATAAACAATTTTACTGTTCTCTACTTTTAGCCAAGATGTATCTGACATTAATCTCATCCCATAGCCTCTTGAAATGTGATGGTTGACACAGTGGCTGCAGCAATGAGATCAAATACATCAGAGGTGATAAGGGTAGCACAGAATAGGACATTGCTCAGCCTTGTTCATAGGGTCATTCTGAGTCATACTGAATGTCACTTAACAATAACTCATATTTTTAAAATTAACACAATAAAGATAAACAATAACTTTGTGATGGTAATGCCTGACTGATACTAACTTAATATACCAGTTATGGAACAAATAGTGACATTTAGAAGAACACAGTGTTGCTTCAGTGATACTCTTACCACTGACGCTAAACCTAAATCTAGATTTCAGGAAATATTAAGCCAAAAATTGAGGATCATTCTT